TAGAGGCTCTGTCAGCTCCTACCTTATTTAGACACACTGATCGAAAAAATCTGCCTGCTGCCAACGACAGATATGACATGTTCTCCATCCTGATCTGTCATCGAGCAAGGCCTATCTGTCATTTCGGTCGCCCGAGGAACAACACCGGATATGACATGGAAGACACCGGGCAATTTTGCAAGGAAAATAAACCGGGCGCCATCCAAAATGCCAAGCGTTGATAGGGGAACAAAGTCTTGGTGTGTGCGTATGACGTGATGTTTACATTAGCCCCCTTGCGACGAATCTATAAAATAGTTTAAATGGCCCAAGCAGCTCGTTCAGAGTAATTTTGATTGCAGGTAGAGTGTTTGAGCTGTTTTTTTAAACAACCACTCAGAACTTTACTCATCCAATGACGAAAGAGCAGACGAAGTTTTTGCTTTGTTTCCTTGTTAATTGCTCTCTGGTTTTATGCTGCGTTTGTTTGGTTTTCGTTTAATATGCCATGCTCTTGTATTTTTGGTTTTCCTTTCTTTTTAGTTTTGATTGTGTAAGACTCCTTGGTCAAAGTTTTCAGATCTTTCTAAAGAGGTGAACAGCGTTCATCACTAAGAAGGAAGACTTTTTAGCAAAGAAACTGATGCTATTAAGCGGGACATGCAAGTTTGTTGTTATTACAAATTCCTATGTTTTATTTCTACTGCATGCGTTGTGAGTGAAGAGTCTGATAAATAATTGAAAAGCCTTTCTGGATGATTAGCAAAAATGCATTTCCTTTTGGATAATTAGAAAACATACACTACCACCGTTATAATCTTTGGATGAATGATTGACTCTACAGACTGCTTCATTACTCGGACGGCATCATGTTCTGCACTACTGCACATTTAATAAGCAGAATAAACCATAATGACGCTGTTATTTCCGTAGCTGATGAAAATGGGAGCATTAGTCATGCATTATCACTTTGTGGAACATTTTGGTTCCGGTAAGGTGGTGATTCTTAACTGTTTGCATTTTCTTTAGCGTTAGCTAATGTTGAGGTTTCCTTTGTCAAGTGGAAAGATTATACCATTTCATTTCAAGCGTGCGGATGTTTCTTCAGAATAAGCCAAACCTTTATTACGAAAGGAAAAGAGTGCAGCGTACCCCCAACAATAAATGCAGCTGTATTGAATAACGTGTTATTTTTGGAAAAAACTGTCTAGCACCTACCGTAATATGATTAGTCCAGAACTTGGTTTCGTGGGGCCCGACCCTATAAAGGTCGAAAAGTGTCCCTTTCTGGGCCGAAATGAACCGGAAAGGATAGTTTTCCACGGTACTCGGTATCCAGGTCAATCTGGGGAGGGGGGGGTTCAGAGTGTACAAATAAGGCAGGCTTTTGTACAAAAACAATGCAATTCTATGATCTAGTTTTCCCAAAGGGATTTGGCCACGGACATTGAACAGTGGATTTGAGAAAGTCTTCTTGAAGTTGGTCCCTTGTTTTCAAACATACGTTTGCCTATTTTTAGAGCACATGTTCACTACTTTCTGATGCAGATAGCGAATTGAGAACCGAAACTTCAATGGATTTACCAATTTCAGAGTCACAGAAAAATATTTGCGGAGTAATTAAAATTGAAATTCGCCTATTTGTGGGAATCAAAAAGCCAACACGCGCGTTGCTTTGCCGTTAAGGACACTGAATTCTTTTGTTCAAGAAAACTCTAAAATTAGCGTGCACGTTGTTTTGCGGAGGAAAATTCCTTCTACCCATTAGACATAAACTTCGTCTTTTCTTGAAAACGCAAAAGCCCAGAAGCCCTGCTTTGCCCACGACGCGCTAAACTTGTCTCTTAGTGGTAAAAAAACCCAGAGCCTAAAAAAAAAGTTTTGTGTGGGGAGCTGGTTAGCGTAGCAGTTCTTTCCTGGCTCTGCACCAATGAGGCCCGGGTTCGAGTCCTGGCTTGGCCCAGACTTCAAATGCATTTGGTGTCCAGTCCATACTCGCTCTCGCAGGTTTTCTCCAGGTACTCCGGTTTCCTCCTGCCTCTAAAACTGGACCTTCTTTCCTAACTCCGTAATATGATGCTGATGATGAAAGGCTGTGAATAGACATGTAGTTACTGGTGCAAATAGCCTAAGTAGCTGAAAGCGCCATTCACAAACCAAATCTTGCAATGAAGGTTGAATTTCTCTCTTCATGAAATTTACTTTGCATTGATTTTCTTGATCTCGGTGAACGCAACTGATATTGACAAAATAACCTCGCCAAGATGGTCGCTGCAATCCAATTAATCGATTCTGGCTGGAACAGAACCAACATAAATGATTCGACGGAAATCGTCCGTTCAGGGAAACGCTGAGAAGATGTCGGCAAATACAAAAGCTAGAAGAAATCCATGGGAGAGACAGTTAAATTCTCTTTGTAGATTCCAGCTCTTAATGGAACAGTTCTTGGTTTGTTTCGAGCATCGTTCAGGCATCCAGGCGAAATCTGCATGCAGTCTGCATCAGTATTTTCGATCAAAATGGCCGTGTGTTTGAAAAAAATCATTGTTGCAATTTAATGCTGGTGTTTTGTTACTTTTGATATAGAACAGAAGATTCTTTTCCGTCTAGGATGAATGAGCATCACCCGGGGCAGAGGCAGGGTGGGAAGGTTGAACTGAATCCCTTTGCTCCCTGAAGGCCTACCATTTCCCCATTCTCCCCTCCCTTTTTGGTCTAGTGGGTATCTTGTCATTTTAAAGAATTTATTAGCTTCTCAGCTAATACCATTATTTCAAAAAATTACCCCAAATGTCGATGATTCACTTTTCCCATCACTTTGTATAAGTCTCTCAAACTGGACCAAGTCCCCTTCGCGTTTTAAGGATGAAGGCGTAGTGAATATTCAGCACACACAAAAACACCTGGCTCTTAACAAGCCCCACTTTAAATTTCAGGAGCACTGGCCAGGCAGATGGGGTTTGCTAAAGCCTTTCAAATACAAGCAACCATTATTTGCTCGCTAATGTTGGGTCCAGAAAAACGTCTTGGAGGAGAGGTATGACGTGGGACTCAGGCAAAATTACCTTCTTCCGTGGCCGGGCAATCCCCAGTCGCGGGAATTATGCGACAGGCAACCCCATCCAGTACACTGTGTGGACCCGGTGCGTGCCGTGGAGAACCTGCCAGGTTGCTTACATCAGTCCCTCCATAATGGTCTGGCGTGCACCGCCAAGCTTTAATTTTCCTGCCTACGCAATTCCCATCCTGTCAATAATTAGATAAGTTCAGTATTTACATTATTATAGTTGCTAACACGGAGGCAACTCAGCCAATTCAGTGGCTAAGTAAAGCTCCCGTGTTTGTGGACTCCTCTGAAAACCCTCGCGGATAATAATAAAACTGTCTACCCACCCGGTGTTATGAGTGTCACAGTCCGTCTGTAGTACGCGGTGTTATTCATCCAAACGCGATCTCTGGCAAATTAACAAAGATGCGTGCCATCTTTGTCGCTGGGAGGAAATGATGGTTGGGTCAATAACCTTGGCACAGCAACAGTGGCGTATATGTGTGCCAGAAACACATAGGAGTGGGAATGGAGGATGAGAAAGGTGTGAGGGGATGACTTGCCGGCCACGGAAATTTGAAAAGCGGGTTGGGATGACACCATGTGACACCATATAGAGTTTGGTGTTCATGATATTGAAGTATATATATGTAATATAAATAAATCGTAGAGAATGGCGTGTTTATGGCTTTTAAACATTGTTGTTCCTCTTTAAGTGATATTGAATGCATTTCAGTCGTTAAGAAGTCCGAAAAATTCCTTACTTTATTGTTTTTTCTCTCTAAACGCACACACCCAAGTGTGTATTTGCCTCCAACTGGGGACTCCCTATTGTTCCTCCTTTGTTTGTACTTTATTTAAAGACCACCCTTATGTTTTGTACGCAGTTGTCAATCGGGGACCCTCTGTCAATCGGGGACCTTATTGTCCGCTATTGCTCAGGGTCCCCAATTGAATGCAGAAACAAACTCACACACACAACAAAACTGGGTGTGTGTCTGTGTGGTGGTGGGGGGGATTCCATAACCCCCTTCCCCACTCAAAAAGCAAAGTTGCATAGCAAACAACACTCAGTTGTATCTACCTTTTCTTTTTGTAATGACCAATTTAAATCAGACACAATTTGTTGCTACTTGTTACTGTCCCAAAGTTGGCCTATCTTTGGAGCTTATCCACAGATAATGCTGAGCATAGGGGATGGAGGTGAGATTAGTTGCTTCCAAATTGCTCATAGCCAGGTGACCAAAACAGGCCATGGATGTATTTTATAGACAAATGAGCCTAGATGGGGGAACAAATCATTGCCTCTTTTAGTTTTACAAAATAAATTCATTACCTTTAGTTATAGTTATCTGCATTGACAGAGCATAAGGAAGGTAACGCACCTTTCTGATACTGATCTGTTACATGTACAGAAGCCGAAGTCATACCGATTGCATATGATCAAGATATTGGCGGATCTGGGTCCAAATTCAAACTTGGATAGAAAGAGCGCCACCTGGTGACCCTCAGGAACAGATGGCCTCGCTAGAAATTTAAGATAATTGCCAGAACTTCAGTCTTTTTTCTTCACTTTCCCTTCCCCGAAAACATCCTCAAAACCATGCGCTAACCTCTGACTATAGCCACCTGCCTCTTGCAAAATGGTTTTTAAGAACGAAATATCCCGATTTGCAAGCTGCAAGTCTCTACGAAGAGAAATCTCAATAACCGTTCCCGATTAATGACACCACTCATTGTAAATCACCCGTGGGATCATAAAATATTAATGAGTCTGAGAGTACAAATCTAGCCAGTTACAGTGGAATGCACCCTTTAAGTCTTCATAAAATGGGCGCCGCCTGTACTAGGCTAAAATCCCACTTACTAGCGCCATTAAATCCCTCCCTGGATAGGGAGACAAAAATGGCAAAACGAAAATAAAAAGGATTCAGAATACTACTAATACCAGCTTCCCGTTCGTCTGTTTTCATAGATTTAAGCCAGTGCCGCAGAAAGTCATGTCGACTAAAACGTTCATGCTGGTGGTGTGCTTGGCGTACACGTTGCTGCTTGTAACAGCTCTTCCGTTGGACTACCCATCAGACGAGAACAACGCCTTCTTACGGAGACTACGTTCTAATAAGAGTCCCTGTAAGTTTATCTCTCTAACATGTATACAAACATTAAAGTGGATAGCAGCACGATTTACGCAAAGCATAGTTCATACATCATGCAAGAGTAAGTGAACACGCAGATCGTGCGGCACATTGGCAAAAGTATAAACATTTTAAACTTAAGCCAATTACGTATAAAATGTTTCGTGTCGTCAAATGTACTTCACTTTCGCGTTGGTATGATGTATTAGCCTGTCTTAAATGCTTGCATGCGTAGGACTTTTTTCCTTTACACTCCACATCCTTTCTCTCATAATTCTTTGCAGTATGTCACTTGGATATAAGGCCTGCGTTTTCTTTATTGTTTGGGGTCCTTTTTTGCTGCTGGTCGCCATGGTGAATAGCAATGGCCGGAGGCGATCATGTCTGTTTCTCTAAATGGCTTGGGGTCATACATTGTTGTGAATCTAAGAAGAGTGTAAAATTCATTACATAAGCTTTCTTTTTGTTCATTTGGCTGTTAACGTTTGCTTTTTGAAATAGGTCATTGTTCTGACTGCGTACCAAAAATATGGATACAAAAATACTAAACCAAAAGAACGAACAAAACTCAAAAGCAAAAAAGGTCGAAAGACCGAGGACTCACACGATCGATTGCCATGATGCCAGCATCCTATCAGAGCTTTGGCTCTAGCTTATTTTGTTTCCTTCGTGTAAACAATAACTGAAGTAAACACTTCGGTAAAGCTTGAACTCATTTTTAAATGCAGAATTCCTATAACGTAACGACCATTATCGTCGTTTATTGCTAGAGTAGTTCTAATTTTATGCAATAGTTAATAGAGTTTTATTTCTTTTTTTGACCGCAGACTGTACGTACGGCGGGCTTACGTGCATTTGTGACAAGAATAACAAACCGAAAAGCTGTGGGCTTGTTTACTACGACCCAAGGTTGGTCAAGAATGCGTTGGCTTAGTAAAAGAAACTCAGCGTTTACTAAATTATAAAAATGAACAAAGAGATTGACGGGAGCGGCATTTGAACCTGCGACCTCTAGAACACCGGTACCGGTGCTCTACCAATTTGAAGTAGCCAGCCCAACATTGGTGGCTCGTCCCATTTGTCAATACCTTTGTTCGGGGGCGCTAGTCAGAATCTCTCTTTGTTTATCTTTATAATTAAACGTACACACCTAGTCAGTTTCCCTATACTTCCCTATATATTTTGTTTCCAGATTGTTTAAGTGAATTTTGAGATAAAGTTTCCATTGTTGGAAAAACAGCATCATATCTCCAATATAAAACGATGTTTCGCAAGATGAAATAATATTGTTTACTCTTAAGGTAATCTCTTAGGGGAAAGACATGAACACGTACTTCTACTTGATATATTTTCCTATAGGTACAATATACACTGAAATCTTTGTTCAAGGCAAGCAGGAAAGGGGCTTTCCAATACATTTTTGTTTTGGGGGACAAGCTTCGAAATTTTCTAGACACGTATGAAACTTTTCAAAAATTAAAGATAAGCCAGCATCGCGATAGGAACGAAATTGCACTCATTACTTAACACCCTTAAACAAACGAATATAATAGTAACAGCAACAAACAAACAAACAAACAAACAAACAAACACCAAAAAAATCTACTTTGGCCAGTACTCCTTTATGAAAAAATATGATACCAAATATTAAACGATAGTGCACCTGTTTGTTGAGGTTGTAAGACATCATGATGTGCGTTTTTAATCAAAATGCATCGTATCCATTGACTATTTTCTTGCGTTGCAGGTGGAACATTTAATGTCACTATCTTCAGCGGGGAATGGTGCAGCGTACATTGGTCAATCAGGGACACCAATTTCTACTCTTCGCCCTTTCGTTCGACTTCGTTTAGGGGGTACAAGGAAAGTCTTGATGGTAAAAAGAGTTTGACGACATAACATTTGAGAAAATATACGACGATGTATATGGAACACTCCTTTGTCGCAGAAGAGCAATCCAGGGTCTGTCCTCTCACCTTCTGAAAAAAAAAATCTGTAAAAGTTAGTCATCCTAACTTTAGACTGTTGTACGGTAAATCAGATGGGGCAACACATAACGAACGGACACGTTTTTAATTCCTTCCGTTCCTGCGCAGGGGTGACTGCTCTGTCTCCCTCTCTCATTTAAGATGAAGCTACTTGGAGTATGATCCGCTCAACAGTAATGAACAACTAATGTATGAAGCACGCTCCCATTTCCAAAGATTATAAGGACCAGACGATCTGTAGTAAAATTCACCTCGACTTTAGAGTGAAAACGTACGAAGAGGAACTATTTTATCTGAATTTCTGTGGCCACTAATTTGGGTCAGATTAGGTGCATTTTCACTGACACAGAATAAGTCTCTAATCTATGAAATCCGGAGCGCAGGTACATTGTTAACATGAAGATACGACAGCACAAATAGTGGATACGACCGCCTCGACCCCCGCTGTGTATCTATACCTGCAAATTATGTGCCATTCCGGAAACAAATCTGCACTGACACCCCCCCCCTGAGCATGCTGTCTAGTCCAATGTTCATTGCTAATTGGAAAAGGATGTGATTACAACAGTGCACGGTTTTTCCATTATTATCAAAACTCAGGTGTGCCGGTACAGTATCAAATGGAATAAATTAATCAAACAGATCCTTGAAGATTTCAGAACTGCGGTGTTAATAGTATATATCTCCGATCAATCCTGTCCTTGTGAATCTGCAAGCCTAAATAAACTAACAAGTTTGTCATGTGCTTTCCCCTAAACTCCCCCTCAGCAAGTCATTAGTTCGTTAGAAAACTGCTTAGAGATGTATTTTATTTGTGCATTTTATTTGTGTATTAAAGCTACATGTATTTATGTTTAGTGTTCCACCGTCAACAAAGTTTTAAAACTCCGCCAACTTCTGAAACACATGAAAACATTTTTCCATCTGGGCACCGAACCATTTTATTAACCTAAAGCCATTAATGTATATAAGGCCTCATGTTTAAATGTAATTTATTACCAAGTATCTGGAAATCCATTTGTATTGTGCAGCAATTACCGGTTTAATAACAAAAGCTTTTTTTTCAATGGAAATCACAGAATTCGAATTCTGGTAACAATCACATATGTTGGGTGCTTAATTTGAATCAACAGGTTTATGTACGTCTGTGCTAAAGGTATTTAATTAAACATTAAAAGAAAATTTCACCCTGAAATGTGTACATTCCCCATTTATTTGTTATATATCATTAATGATTCGTTTCAAGATGTGCTACTCACAGATAGGAAGTGTCAACTGACCAAGGTTCATGACGTCTAAATAAAATCAGTATCTTGGTGATAGTGTTGCCCTGTAGTGATTTCAATGTTGTCCATTCCAAGATAGTTACACGCAATGTGTGATGCTGTTTTGGGGCGGATCCAGGCAGTTCGCTGGAGAGGGATTTTTTTTATTTTTTGTGGGGGAAGGGCTGCGTAATACATAATGTTAAGGCCGTTCCTGAAACCATTTTAATCTCTTTGCTTTGTCCGTAAAAGCAAAATACTACCCCTGGTTTATGATTTGCGGGGGATCTTTTAATCTTTAGATCCACATGGAGGCCACGATTTTTTTAATGGCTATGACCCGGGGCGGGGGGGGGTTCCCACCGAACCTTCCCATCTGTTGACCTGAGCCTGAATGTTTTTGGTTTTTTTTTCTCTAACAATGTTGCGAGTTGAACGGTGTGTACAGCTTTTGCCCCTCTGTGCATAGAACCACCATAATCAAATAAGAGCAAGGCTTTACTTTAAGAACAAGACCTTGCGAAATAGAAATCATTTAGTGCAGTCCTGACTTATCAATACATCTTTGGATTCGGTAACACGATTTCAACTTTCATTTTATCATTTTCAAGGGTACTTTTGGTGCCTTTCGCTTTTATGCTGATAAATTTTGCATATAAAAGAACAAACGCGTGATGTCATTCTACTTAAAAGATAACCTCAATACATTTAACAATGTTTTTCACAATGTAGGCTATTGATGGGATAGAATGGGGCCATTGGTGTAAAATACACCGCTGATAAGTACGATTTCTCCAAGCATCGGTTTGAAAAGATTGCGCCTTTAACTTTCTTGCATATATTCGTGGCATGCGACGACCTGTAGTCTATCCTACCATATCATGCGGGAACTACATTGATACGTTTTCAGTAGATGTGGCAGTTACTTGTGTTCCTTAGTGATCGGTAGAAAACACACTCATTTCTTTAAATCATACATTTCAGATGTGGCAAAGTTGACCTAGAACATTTGTTATTGCAATGTTAACATGCAGATGGTTTTCCAAGTCCGAAAAACGTGGAGGTAAGCCCCAGATTTGATGCCAGTTGATTCTGCTTTCTTCCCTAACCTGCGAAAAAAGTCTCACAGTCAGTCACTGGAAGTTCTGTGTCGTACATGACGAAACAGATTTCCCTGATAGCGCCCTCACACTCCGTGGTACACACAATTTGTGGCAATTTCATGCTGTTCCAGAGATGTACAAAATCATATAAAAAACTACCTAATAGTTATTGTATGGTCTCTAGTAGGCGTATTTGCACTCATGATTTCAGTGAGATGTCTGTTTGAGAAGACGCTAGGACACACATTACCGGTTAAGTCTCTTTGAAAAGGTACTTAGCATAGTTATGTCACTTTTTTAATTAAAAGGAGATGCGTTTCATATTTGATCTTTTTGATTTTCTTTTGATTGAATTATTGCAGAAAAAAAATCTGTTGAAAAACAACAACAAAAAATGGGTTACAGAGGCAAGAGTGTAAAGCCTCCGCAGTAGCCGTTTTAAAGATGTTCCTCTCGACGACATTCACAACGGGGCGTGTAGCATGGTAACTTACCGGAACGTAAATGAAGAAGCAACTAGGCCGTCAAATCAATGTTGGAATCATAAATCACTCTCTAACATATCTTTCCTGGCGCCAATAGAGGGCGTGTTTTCCGAGTGTGGTGTGATGATGCTATAGGCTCACACTACCGATCTCCACACGCAGCCAGAATGCATTCTTGTTTTACTCTTGCTGTCATTTTACTGATTTCCGTTGTCCCGATTGTGCCTCTCTTAATAGGAAGCAGATTCTCCACATCACTTTGCGACCTTCCCCAAGCCCCAGTTATTTTCTCAGACAGATTAAAAAGGCTGGACAGGCTGTTCGAATCCAATTAAAATGAACCGATGCATTATTTCTGTCTTTTGTGCCTTGATGTCAGCGCAGCAGTCACACTGTAATACAATTTTTTTCTCAGACAATCTGGTAAACTTAATTCATATGCGTATATATTACGCATTTACTAGGCCTACGTGTAATGAGGACGTTGTAGACTCGGTGTGGGGGTAATCCCCCCTTTTGTAATAGTTTCACTTATGGTATTTTCTTTTGACCAGTGTCTCATCTTTACATGTGTTATAACTAATTCTTTCTGTTCAGCAGTGGAGGAGTGACTCCTGATTGGAAAAAGGAGGATAAACCAACTAGAGAAGAAGGGCTTAAAGACGCGATACGATTTTTTACAAGCTTCTCTGCATTCAGGAATATTAACAAAGTTGGCAGCGTCATTATTCACTGGGTAGTTGTTAGAACTGTCAATTGGGTTTTGGAGGGCCAATGGATATGATGGGTATAAATAAATGACATAATAAGTTTGCTGGATTATTGGTCAACTTTCTAGAGTGGAATCCTAGCTCAGGCTACCTGAGTTGCAGATATGAACCTTGCATGAACAGTTCCTACACGCTGGCGATTGCAACATGCCAACGTACAAAAAAAAAAAAAACGTTGTCCAAGTCAGCGTTTGGAGAAATGTCTGGGTTTTTTTTTTTTTGGGGGGGGGTACGTACTATTAAATGTTAGAGGTTATCTCCAGTCCTGTGTAATGTACTCATTGTGAAGGGTCTATTCAACGGATGCTATGACGCGTAATCCGAGATAACAATGTCTGTACTGTAGAAATCACGACAAAGGAAGCAATGTCTGTGGAGATACCGCCCTCTCGGGGCTGATTGCAAAGGTCGATCAGGAAACAATATCGCCCCCACTATGGTCCTTTTTTAAATTTTTTTTTCCTTTTCAACTTACAACCCTACTGCCCTTCTGGGCAAGGGCATATACTGTTTCCTTATAACAGCAGGTAGTTTGCCTCTAGTATGACATTATGTCTGGAATGCTCCTTCGATTTGCAGATGCATACGTTAGTTTTAATACATGTATAGCAAAAAAAGTTAAGGTCAAGACAAATGTGCCAAACAGTATGTAAAATCGCGACGCATTCGGCTAAATTCATCACAAGGCTACACGTGCCCGCAATTATTAAGGCAAAAAATATGTCCTTGGCCGTTGTTAGTTAAACTAATCTTTAAAACTGGCCAAGCACTCATTAATACCTTTTGAGTCTGAAAGTACAAACAACTTTAAAAACACAAATTTACAATTTTTTTTCACAATTTTTTGCTTCTGATCCTACGGCTTTATTTTGTTTGTTCATGTGTCAAGATTGTAAACACTTTAACTAACTGTACTGAGACTGTTTACTTAAGAACCTTTACACAAGTGCAAAGAGAAAGTTCACCAAAATCTTTGCAGAGATAGAAAGGACAAGGACTGTTTGGATGCTGAGATCACAAAGGCTTCGCCACTGAGTACTAAGTAAAGATGTGTATAATTCTTGAATAAACAGTTTGTTTTCCAAATCTATCAAATATTACCTGTGAAAACAGAATACCTTAAAATCTATATGCGGTACTTTCTATAGCGTTTCGTTAACTTCATTTGCCTTTTTATCAGGAATGAATTCGTTTCTCAAAACAAAAGGATAAATATTTTCATATTTTTGCATTAGTGTGAATATCTTTTCGTAAAACTGGAGTGCATGGTCTGTTCTCAACGAAATTCAATTGCTACACTGCATGCACCGCAGTACAATGGTTATTGTGCAGTCTACAAGGCTTGGGTGTGCTTTGTGCGTGGTGCGTTATTGACCTATAGAGCTCCACAGTGAGTCGATGGTGCGTAGCAAGTATGAAGGTACTGTCACCAAATCTGGACTCGCAATGCCCTTTTATTTGCAGTTAATTTTTTGACTGTATTCTTTTTGATACACCCTGTAGAGATCGTTGAATCCACTCGCGGCCATTTTACCAAGCCCAACACGAAGCTTGCCCGGCAATGCCCACGTTTGGTCTCCCTGGCGTCAATAGAGCGAGCCAACCCAAGCATTTGTATTCGACTCGGTGAAATGGCTGCTGGTTAGCTTCTATTTCATACAAAAGTGTTGCAAGTCCAGGTTTTTGTATATACATATATACGTTCGTGACTACCACGGGGGCAGGACTTGCCAATGACTTTGTAACACAAATCCCTACGTCATATCACAGCAAACTCATAGCCCAGCTCTTAATTAAATACATTACTATAGCATGCACATGCAGTATAAACTAGACACACATCATATTTAAACGTAATGGTTATCTATATCTGGTTTCAGAAAGCTGTACAGTTGCATGAATATGTTCACGAAGGTTTGGATCGTAACCAAATGGGTGAGTGTATAACGACAAATTGGCTATTCTATAATTACATGTAATATTATCAATGTGAATGGTTGCAGGCTAAGCCTACTATTACAGAGTGGCTACATAAGCCAGGTTGACTACAAAAGCCAGTCTAAATTGTTCTATAAAGCAAACAAAATAATACACGTACTGGTTAATTCATGCGCTTTTGGTTTGACTGCATTCAACAGCCTGATACGCATGACCTGTATACGTCACGTAAACCTTCTACTGTATGGCGTAAGGGAATGGTACACGCATAGAATTATAATCCATAACGCAAGCTGGGTAACTTGGCTGTATTGTAAAGACTTTTCAATTCTACTCAAAATAACGATAGCCTGTGTCAATGCCGTAGCGTTGTTATGAAAAACCAGCACAAAAGTGTGAAAAGAACGCCATCTCCGAGCCCCATTTGGCTTTCCCCAAATGTATTTATCTAAGCTGACAAGCACTGGGTAGTCGTTGTTGAACTGTTTTCTAGTCAGAGTCACAATGAACCTTGGAAACTCTAGTTGGTTTCAGTAAGCTCATGACTATACTGCATTCAAAATGGAACGATATGTAGCAATGTAATCTGTGACCTTTCTGGTTCCACATTAACCTCTACTTCTATCCCATAGGCTACTTAAAATGACGAATATCATAAAGACATGTACTGTCCATATTGACAATGGTCGTAGACACCTCTGTTAACTTTCAAACTGAAATTTGTTTAAAAAAAGCATATGCATATTTTGCTTTGATTTGAAAAGTATCATATAGGTGACAGAAGAAAATGCTGTCAAATCAGAACTTTTCCAGTCGCTACTACAATTTTGGTTGACCTGTTTTTCACTAAAAGAAATTGTGATTTTTACATTGCCTCCAATTTCACATACTAAAGCAGATGTAAATTGCGCAGACACTTCAAAAATCAGTAATTTCCATAAAAGGTATTGGAAAGAACCTGGTTCATCGATAAACTCATGGTATAGGCTAAATTATGAACAGAACTGCATGCACATGAAAAGAACAACATACTGCTTTATAACACAAGATAGAGAGAGCCACCATCCCAAAACCAGGCTAAAGTAGGTAACTTCATTTCCTGAAAAAGTGGAACTTCCACTGTTCACGTCTTCATGGAAATTTCACAGCTATAGCTATCCGTATAACCTTACTGCAGACAGAATTAACACTTGACATGGATTACTTTGAAGAGTGAAAAAGCTGAAGGAGAGGAATTGTCAACCATCAAACTTACCTACTTCAACCTGAGTTTGGGGATGACGGGTCACATTTCTTAGCTTAGCTTGTTCCCGGCATGCACTCCGTGTAGACTGTCTCCTGGCCTCCATCGATGGAAACAGTGACGTCGTTGCAACCGTGTGGTGCTGTACCTTCTTCATCAGCACCTGTCATTTTGTACAGACGGAAGCACATCTTGACGTCCACACCCCCGCATTCCTTCTCCAGCGCACAACGCTCGACGTTCTCGAAGGCTGAAGGGTGTGAAATTTACACGAGTAAAATCCACTGTTTCACTGTCACCCAACATTCTATCATGGACGCCCTGCCAAACGGGTGCAGTTTTTGGTCGCCAGAAGATGCATCAGTGTTGTCCAAGCGTACAACAAAGGCCAGAGTGACATCTCTTAAGGTCACGCCAGAAAAGACAACTTAAACAGCTTAAACAACTTAAGAATGTTTCTAGTCTACATAGGAAATATTTAATTCGGATTTTTCTTCTGTCCCTACACACTTCAGACACAAACCAACAGCTTTACATGGGACTTCTCCAAGATGTGTGAGTCAAATATTGTCGATAGTTCGCCCTTCCCGCCTGACCAGTTTACTATGCCCGTCAGAAATTTTTTGATGGCCACACGAGAATAGGTATTGGTGAAATCTTAACAATACCAGATAAGACAATCTACACTACTTTTAATTATAGTTCATTTAAATAAACTGGATGGGGTTAATGATCAACTTGTGATCACAACAGTGGATAACAAATGTACCAAAACACTCACGATCCATGCTGCCCTGGGCGAAGAAGATGTCTGAGTTGCATTTCACTTCGACATCAACACTGGCCGTGTATGGCAGATACTTCATAGTCATGGATGCCGTTACTACAAATTACATATATATACATATACAAATCTTGTACTTAGCTTTTGTTTATCAAACAGCTGCTGCCAGTTCTACTTCCTGAGGCGCACGCGCTTGGTTTGTTGAGAATTGCACATTCCACTGTTAAGACTGCACATACACGGCAAATTCCTTCGCTACTAAATCTTTATCCGACAAAAGTTAAATCACAGAGTACACGACGCATACAAAACTTGTTAAACTTTATAGAAAATATTAGAAACGGAATTTCTTGTAGCAACAAACAGACAATGTAAGCGATAGCCAAAGGTATGTGGGTAATAGAAAACCTGTGTAAGCTAAATTGAAAATTATTACAGAACAATGTTTTACCTCCGGTAGCAATAAGCCCTTGGCAATTGCAATTAACATGCATATCGCTAGTACATTTGCAGTGCTGGAAAATTCCATCGGGATCTGCTCCATCCAGAGAATGGGAAGACTTCCCTACCGATGAAAAAAGCACTATCATCTATTTCAAGGTTTTTCAAGTCCTGTCAAGCTGAACCCAGCCTTTCCCAAACCAACCCAGCACAGTCAAACTCGAAGCTGAACCCAAAGAAAACCCTTTGTGAATTTGTAAGCTGGGTGTGGTGTTAAATATTATTTGCGTACCATCTTCCGGGTGTAAAAATCATTTAAGGTGGAGAACTGATAACTGCTTTCGTAATATACAGGTGCATTCTTTTATTATAATTTTCGTTATTACTGACCTTCCTGGCTCTTCCTAAGCTGCTTAAACATGTCCAGTCTTTTGTTGATGGAGGATGGTACCACCTTTAACTTTTCTGTAGCATACGCCTGCTCGTGGTGTACATAAGAAACCATAAACATGGTATGTCTGGATTTCGTGGCCATTTAAGAGCACAACTCCTTATTCAATACTTTTTTTCCGGTCAATAAACCAAGGTCGCCACGTGAAAGAACGTTAAGTGATATTCTTTGTGAAAAGGTAATTTTTTAAAGAGTCCGTTGCCTCTATAAATTAGATTTGGAACAGGCATGGTCCGTTACTGTTTATATATACACCACTGACTGAGTCATTTCATGTCTGAAACCACATAGAAAGAGATGCAAAAGGGAGTAGGTAGGGGTAAGATTTCCACGCTGATAATACAAGTTGAATGATTTTTTTTTGGGGGGGGGGTTTCAACCACAGTCTGCTTTTTTCCGATACAAATATCAACAATAAATTCAAACGGAGATGTAAATTGTACATAGCTTAATCAGGTAGGCCTACATGTACTTACAATCATGGTTAGCAGACCAAACGAATTTGACAATGTGAAAATCAGTTGACTAACCATTTCCACACAAAGCAAAGCGTTATGGAAAATTTACAAGATGGAATAATGAATTTAATTATGGTTATAAATGATGAGAACTAAATATGTCAATTACAATGCAAATAATGCATAATGAAAAATAATGACCCGAACAGGAGCGATTAAGACTATGTGATTTACATGTACAGCTTACTCCAAGCCCCATGCCAGTTGGGAACTCAGAGCCATATCTGTCTGATTTATATGAGTGCTCTTTCAGCTTTGTGGAAGGATGCCTTTTGGGGAACCAGGTGTCCACTTTTTTTGCCTTTTTCTTTTTAGAACAGTACAGACCAAGTGGTGCGTATTATCCTGTACTTACCAACTGTAAAATCACCGATATGGCAACCACTCCGAGACAAACCACGACACGCATCATCTTCTCAGATTGTATAGGTAAGGACGAATGACAGCAAAACCTTTGAGCAGACTAGTAGACACCGAACCTCCATGCATCAACAGCTAAACAGCGAGTCTGAAAGGTGTACCTCTGTGATACAATCTCTACACTGATGACGACTCTGCACTTTGATAACTTGTGCACTCCCCTATGGTGCTCAGTCAACAGTAGGCAACCGATTGTCCACCTATTCTTAAGCCTAACAATAGACTGCGCTCAGTTTGTGAATTTTTGATATGGACAGCCAAACGTCACAGAATGTTGCCAGTAGTTGTTTTCAAATTTGACCCTACGGTATGTACTAATGCAGAATAAATAAGAACATGGGAAGTGTTTTCATTTAGTAATTCGTAGTAGCGTTAATGATTTGGTGTTCATGTGGTAGCTTCGTGTGAATATAAAACATTTTGTTTTTCATTTAGTTATTTATTTATTTGTTGTTTACTTACGGCTGCCCAAAGTTTTAACAGCCACTGTAGATATTTGTTTGATTGCTTTATTAACCTATATGGAGGCATCCGGTGATTTTTGAAAATCAGTTTTTGCTAATTAATTGATTAAAACAAGAAGTTAGGGCCAACTGCAATCACCTTCCATCTGAACCTATTTCTGTTCCTGTCAAACAACCTGCTTTTGTTACCATAAAGGTTTTCTTTCATATACTTTTCTTTATTGCTTTTTTGTTATTTAATTTCCAAACCCCTCAGTCTGATCTTGTAATTATCATTGATCGTTATTTTTTAGTTAACAACTCTATTTACTTTTGAATAAATGCATTTGAAGTACACTTTCATTTCAAATTGTTCTATTACAAGAATGTGGAACCATGTAGTTAATTCAAAAGATAATAAATGCATGTGAACTACGCTTTATCTTCCAGTTGTTTTATTACAAGAATGTGGAATCATGTAGTTAACTCAAAAGAGAGGAAGAAATGTTTGGGTTTTCAGGTCATGCATCAAATGTTATTTCAAATCTGCAGTTCGGACACCCCCAATACCCCCCCAAGAAAAAAACAAGAATTGTTTTTGCCAAATTTATTATTTACAGGGTGAAGAGGACAACCACCTATGACATTAAACCATTTAGAACTAAATTTATGTTCAGAAATTGATAATAACAGGATTGTAAGACCTGTATCCACAAAATCCACACGTCCAGCCGCAAAGGTGGGGATTCCTGACATGCAGGGTTAAGTTAAGCTCTGGAAACCCACAAAATTTAAATATAATATATATGGTCAGGCGTTGGTGAGATAAATAATTTACAAGCCATTTTCAGTGCAGTTGGTTTGAATATCGTTTCCTATTGACTTCTTAGCCTGCACTTGACAATCGGCCACGCCTGGCGTCAGTTTTCAAGGGGTGAAAGGAGGCGGCCAAAGCTGGCCCAGAGCTGACATTTTTTGCTTTCGTTTGAAAATTCATCAATAATTGATATATTATTGCGTGTAAGCGTAGGTGTCGTCACTTTCTTGTCTGGATATGGATTATCCACAATCTGAATCTGGAGAATAAATCAATCTTCCAGGAAACCCCGGGGAGTTGGCAAAAGCTTGATTTTTATGTACAAATTTCAACGTCGGTTTTTCTCAGGTTCTGCACTTTTTTTTCTTCGGAAAACATTCTAAGATCATCATAGCAATTACGTCTTGGTCTGAAAGGATTTTGCATTGCACTAAATAAAACAGGTAAAAAGAGGAAGAAGCTGAGAGAAAACGATGTCGACATTTGTTGCCCTGTACATTTTCAAAGGGCCGCTTATGCTCCAACATGCCATTTATACGCATGTGCACATAAATTAAAATGTATTAGTGAACTGGTCCATTGATTCAGATTGGTTACATTTCTGCATATTCAAAAGTAGTCCAGATATATAGCAACACATTTATGGGACATTCACACTCATTACCTTTTCCTACATTTAATAAGCAATTGTCGGTACGCGCTGTCGCAATGTGCAAGCAATTATACACGTGGCTTTATCACTCTGAAAGAAAAGCTAGTGGCGAAAACATCATTTCATTTCTCAAGTATATGAGCCATGTTGCCATAAAATGCAAATGAAAAGGGCGGTAATCAATAGAATGAACCTTTTGAAGCATGGCGGAGACAAGTGGAACGCGCCATCTGAAGGGGGTAAATCTGCAACGAACACAAAAGAAGTCATCCAAACAGAATAGCGCCCTCACATTTTGTTTGCTTCACCCAAAACATCCTAGTGCACAGCTCTTAGTCGGTCACTTTTATTTTCATATTTTAATATTTATTGATCATTTTTATTCAAATATATACGTGTCAAATATTAGCACCAAAACCCTTATAAACAACACCATGAAATAAAAGCTAGGATTTCGGAACAGTAAGGATGCATCCCAAAAGATAAATTCCCAACGATAAATTAAATTTCGAAAATGCTCACAGCTCTCATAGGTGTCCAAGCTGGACAGAAAATGATGTTCAACATGTAGTCTTTTTTTTCCTTTCAAATTTTAGTGGGTTGACTGAAGAATGTTTAAGAAATTCTCATTCAAAGTAGACCACCCCTTTTAAACGAAGGAATTTTCACTGCCCGGAAATGTATCCATTTGAACAAGTATTCCTATTAAAAAACGGGTAAATAGTGCCACTTCGGGCCCAACTGCATCCAATTTGCTCAGAATCGGAACCCTTGAGCCCTGAACAGATGTTCAGTGCCACATTTGTTCAATTCCCCAATTTGATGGCTCTCAAGACTCTCTTATATATAATAGTTTGAGTGTAAACTTGTATTACTGAGCTCGGCGGACGGCTCTTCTGCCTATTTACGCGAGTACATCCGTAATGCTTGGGATACTTTTCTCCCCAACATTATTTCAAGTAGCCTACGCCCGAAGCCGCATATGCTTTTTAATTCCCCCCCTCCATACACAAACCAAAAGCTGGCTACGCTACTGGATAGATGTTTAGTCTGACGACAGAAAAACCGTAACTTTACTTTATCTAACGTAGAGGAAAGGATGGAGATTTGATACTTGATTTGGGTGTGGACCTAATGTATGATGGTTTTGGCGCGCCTCGAGAAAGATAAACAACAAGAAGCCGAAAAAATAGCAGCAGGAATGATTAACAGTAACAACGAACACAACGACAACAACATCAACAAAAATTGACGGCTCCACTCACGACATCGGTAGTGAGTTCAAGACCAAGGAGGTTATTGTTAATTTCTGACCAAGACGGAATAACGTCGCCAATTGTAGCAGATGCGGAAGTTGTGGATAATTCAAAACTTCTTGGTATTCATTTATCGAGCAGCTTTGCTGCAGTGTTCATATCGAGCTTTGTATCAGGATAGCTCACAAACAGATGTTTTTTTCCCAGACTTCTAAAGAGTGTTGATTTGCTTGTCAGGTTCTTGGTGTTTATATGTCGAGCTGTTTATGCTGGGCTGTTCATGTCGAGCGTTGTAACACAAAAGCAAGGGATGTTTTATCTCAGACATCTGAACAGTTTTCATTTAAGTATAGTGATTTGCTAGTCAGTTCTATCGTGCAGTGTGTGGTATGAACGCTTAATGGTATGAAAAATGGGATGGCCGTACTATGCTTGATGGCAATTGTCAATAATAGAATCGCTCGATATATTTTAATACTTTTTTTAATAATCAACTCTTTTAATCATACTTATTTTGTTTTCATTTCTTGTAATGTCTCGATGCAGTTCATTTTACCTATATTTGTGAAATATTCTTTGTATTTTTAAAGAAATCTATACTACCTTGTAATTAATTGTATTGTAAGTGGATGAGTATTTTAAACACGAGGACCATGATGATTTCTGTTGTATGAATATCAGATAGCAATAATAAAATAATAGTTCAAATTGAGGAAAAAAACAAACTTTCCAGAAATGCTAATAAATACTACGGGTTCTTTTGTAAAGAAAGAACCCGTAATAGCTACATGATTGTTTTCCCTGGAGACTGAGCTGACGTGTCTTGCCTTATGTTTCAAGGGGTTGATGTCAAAAATATCCCAGCTACTGTGCTATGCACAACTGCATTGATGCAGAACCACTCCTAGCATTAATATTGCAAGTTAATTTTTCCAAAGTTCACATGACATTTCGTTGTAAGGAAATGTATAAGAGCACAGCACGAGGTCTGCAGACGGGTATCTTCAATCACCGAGAAAGTCAGGGTTATCGTTTATTTAAGAAAGGACCAAAGAGGATCATCGGGATAGTTTGAGTTACGATGCGTTCGTGACGGGGAATGGCAAGAAGGTGATGAAGCGGGAGCAAGCGTGATTTAACCAAGAGGACTTGCTTATAATCATTGCTTCTGAAAATGTAAAATGTCTGATGTTTCGTCTTTTCTAACCGAGGATCTAAAAGAACCCCAAAAGTCTCGAGAGCAGTTCAGTTTGATTGTGTGAAATACGCCATAGCAGAATGTGGCTGGCAATATAGATCTTCAACCTCAAAGGTCTCGGGGCGGCGTGCCCACACCCCTTCACCTTTTCTTTGGTATCGACACATTGCATTTCTGTTTTGCCACTGGGAGCTTTATCAAATGTCTCGTAATCATTTTGACACCCTTTTAATAAAAGTTTGACACATCGTTTTATATACCCCTTACCCAAGACGGGACAGCCAAGAGATAACTGTCCCCACTGATGTGCCAAATGCAAGTGTTCACGTTCACGTGTTCGTCCCTGAACTATAATTTACTGTGGCAACAAACTCTGTGTTAGATGGAATTTAAACTACAGAGATGTGCTGATCAACATTTTGTTACATGCATGCTAAGTGTTCAAAAGACCAAACATTGAACAGCATCTGCATCAACAGCTCTGGGGGAGGGCGGGGTCACGCGGCTAGACTGTCAAAAAGGGGCCTCTTGAAGGGTAGCAAGGATCTGCATCCAAATGTAGACTATAACATCGCCGATGCAAACACACAGAATATTCCTCAGAATACCACAACACGTCGACGGGTCTTTGCCGGTTTAAGGGAGAAAGAAATAACGGATTAATGCAGGGTTGTGGAAGGACTGTCCGTTAACGAACCACCGATCGACCGGAGGTTTTAAGTGATACCGCTACATGAGCGTAACACCCAAGCTCATATATGGAGGTAAACAGTGCGTCACAAGAAGTATTTACAGAACCGATCAAATCACTACGCCTGAAGGTGAAGACAGGGACGTCATCGCTACTCAACTACTGCTTGGAAATGTGGCATGCCTTGGGTTTAAACTGTCTATCGCGTACAGTGATGTATCTAGGGTCTCTAGGTTGCAGCCATAGTCCGAAGTTTTTGTTTCGAGGGGATCCAAAAATTGATGAATTGCGGCTTTTACATTGGTTGTGTGATTTGAATAAGGTTGGTGACTTGTAACTAACGTAGCTGACTTTTTTCAAGATACATACTCATAGCAAAGAGAGAAATGGAAAGTTTGGGTACTGAAAATGTTATTTGGTTAAGCCGGGTTTCGGGTTCGTTTCCAGTTAAATTCAGCTGACATTTATTCCGACAGTGCATATTTAATACATTCAAGTTGCACGCGTGTTTACAATTAAAAAAGGATAAAGAAAATAATACAAACAGTGGTAACTAAGATGACATTTACAGTACCGAGGCATAATCAAAAGCCAAGGGCTTGTGCTGAAATGCCTTGAAAACAGACAGACAATATATCACAGGACTAACAAACAGACAAGAAACGAAAAGATGACAGACGGAAAAAGACAGATGGAAGAAATTTATACAAAGCTATATTGTGAACAATAAAACAAAAGCTAAAGTATATATGAGTATGGAATTGAGAGGGAATTTATGCTAAATAAATAGAGAGAAGATCCTTTTTGTATAACCTTTTGAAACGGCTGATACCATTCCAAAGTCGTGGCCCCTGAAATCGTAGAGTATCAATCGAATAGGATGTGCTTTTTTATGGCAGGTACAGACTGTTGCGAGATCCTGTGCGATAGTCACGGACACTGTGGACAGAGATGAAGAGAGAAGGAAAGGCATTTGGGAGAAGTTGCAGGTTAGAAGTTTGTTAATATCAGTGAGTGTAAGTCTCTTGAGTTGTGCAAAAAGTGGGGCAGTGTGTGCCTGTGGAAGTGATTGAGTGCAAATCCGAACAGCTATTTTCTGAATGGTTATTAGGTAAACTCCTAAGAATTTTACAGAATGTACCTGGGAAACGGATGAATTGTTGATGTAAATGCGAAGAGTAATAGTCCTTGGTCCAGGCTTGGTAAAGAACATACATATATTCAAGGAATATACCAGGCACGAAATGGGACAGAGGGGTCCCCCCAGTCCAATCCCCATGGACCCTCCGGCCTATTGTCACTTTCGTTGTTTTGAAAGATAATAAAATACCGCCATTTGTGGCATTCAGCGCGAGCGGGTTACCAATGAGGACAAAAGCGCTCCAGTGATGAGCGATACAAAACTGCTTCACACTAAACTAGCCCCTATTGAAAAGACGTTAGCTGAGCACTGTGCCGGTTTCGGGATCAAAAGAAAATTACACAACACCACACAGTCTGGACTCTTTTTTCAAGGCAGCTAGGCCCGGTTGAAATACTCGGGCGTCATAAGATATTGTCTTTCAAATTAGAGTAGCCGCCAGAAAGTCGTTGTGTGGTTGTAAACGTCTTGTAAATGAAGTTATGAATTTTTTAAGAAATTTGAAAGCAGAAAAACAATGAAAAATCACCCGCCCCAGCAGAATAAACATGAATAAATGGGTAAGGCGCGAAATGGTTAAAACAATGTCAATTTATTAATGTGAGTGGTTGAGAATCGACACAGATTCTATGCTGGTACGAGTTTATAAACCTGAGGGGAAGCCAGTGTGAAGGCTGTCCACTTATTTAAGGTGTTATTGCTGAAGGAATGATGGAATCTTTTCAGCAGAAAAAGAGATGGCTGTGTGACAAATGAAAAACAAAAGTTGGGTTTGAACTGTAGGCAGGTAGTCGGGTTGGATTCATTATGCGCGCTCTTTTGCAACCACGGCATCACTTGGTAGGGTACTTATCGTGCAAACGTGCATCGTTGGTCGGGGGGACTCGGAACAAGATTCGTAGAAAAATGCATTTAACCTTAACGTAATTTACATGGTGGCTATAGCTCTTGCACGTGTACAAACAAATGCATGTACCTCGACTGAGATAGAGTAAAACGTATAGGCTTCTTTGGCTAAATAAGAATACCTTGAATAAAATCTTTGACCATTATTTTAAATGTTGCAAATTCCCAAAACAGTAAAGAATGAGGAAGTCGAAATACTTAACAATCAAAGGAGATTTGAAAAACTGTAAAAAGCCTAGAGCAAAATAAAGAAAAACTCTAACGGTGTTACCTGAATCACAGCACACTTAGTAGAATACTCTACCTTGCGGCCAAATGGTTAAAGCTCCATGCAACTCCTAATCCTAAAATCAGGGATTTGAATCCAACTATGGAACGTAAACGTCTAGATCCTGAGCAAGTGGCCTCAACCTGCTTACCCCTCTCCATCTACGGATGCAAATTGATACCCATCAGGACAGATATGGCTCTTATATTTGACTGGCCCTTTTGCCTGAAATGGTAACAATAAGCTCTGCATTGCCCCGGGAACTGAGATACTTTAGGGGTGTTTATGGGCAAGCATGCAATAATAATTAGCCTTATCTACCGGCGTTGGGCTAATATGGCCACTTTGTAAGTATGTAGCCATGACTGTTTATATAACTTAATAAATATGGTAAATGTGAATCCTCACATTCTATTTGAACCATTTTGTGAATAATGTTACCAGCGTAATGCACCTGTGTACGAACAACAAAAAAGACATATGAAATGAGATACTCTCTCTGACGCCTGGTCATAAATATTCATTCCCCGGCCACTGTGGGTAGAATCCTGGGTAACGCTGAAGTGACGCGGAGCCTAATCTTCAGCAAACATCATCGACCCGCTGTGCGCAGAGCGTTGAACACCGTCCAAAAGGAAGGAAGGATTTTATTTGCAAGAGCCAGGACCAGCAAATGAAAGTTGAGATTTCTTTCTTCTTGAAAATTTCGCCCAAAAGGTAAGGACATAACTACTAGTAAAGTAAAATCATAAACTGGCATATTTCAACCAATCGTGAAGTACAAAATATGGCAGCTGGAAATCTATTTTGATATACTGTCTAGTGCCCAAAACGTTTTGCGGCAAATACTGGAGCAACACTCATATACACCTGTTCTTATTACAATAATTAGGGCCTAATAGGGATTTTGAATCAATACACTATAATAAAGCAAGAACATATAAATACAATTGAAATCGACATTTGTCTGGAATTATGCATTCAAAATTAATTCATATTATAGTTAAGAAAATATGTTCCCTTTTCTTTCACTTTTCATCCATGAGAGCAACAAAAATGTGGTTTGCACTGTGGGGACGAAACAAAGTTTAAACGTTATGTTTCTCAGGTGAAGATATTTCATTCTAATAAAGTGAAATGACGTATTGGGAACAATTTCCTCATTTCATATTACTACTCACACAAGATGGTGTAAGAACTTTAACTACAAAGTTATACAGCAGCTTTCTTTTCAGCATTACACTCTGAATGTAAGGGTAATATCTTTGAAGATGCTCAAATAAACGCAAAATCCTCCTTTTCTCTCCTTATTCAGTTAACGTCGCGATGAGACCGAGGAGAACATTTGTCATGTCCTTTCTCATGGCATCTATTTTAATACACGCCATCTGTTGTGACGAGATTAAGGAGGGCTTAGCCCGGAACGACAGGTCTCTTGCAATGAGACTTTGGACAGATTCAGGTACTTATCTGTTTGCTTTTTGTTTAGGAGTATCCAATAAAACGAAAGCTATACAGTGAAAAATGTAAATAATGATGATGATTGTTTAGTATCGAGGAAGTTCAGTTCAGTACAAACAACCCCTTACAAATGAATAATTGTGAAGTCACAACACTGATCTAGACGTTATTCTTACGAACTTAATTCAAATGTAATATACTGTTAAAAATTTGAAGCCAGATAATTGTACGACTATTTAGAAAGACAACTGTTAAAAATAAATGCATGCTACCCTTATTTTTGAGGGAAAATGATTTTACCTAAAACGTAATCCTTTCCATTCCGTCTTTTGTTGACTTATCTCACAGGTGTGCCAGTTTTAGTACTCGCATTTCAACTGCGTGCAATGTCAAAGTTAAATGAAAATTAGATAATGCTAAAGCTTAATCCAGTCAATTAAGTCAAACTATATTAATAACCGTGGGTATCGTACACTTCTGTCGCGAATCAGTTGTTTTCTTATTCGTTTTGCTTGCGGACAGAGAGGAAATTCGATTTTCCGGAAACTTGCGGAATGTGGAAATCAGCCAACCCTATATGCCTTGATGGCATGGTATTGCAGAACACATCTAAGACTAAAATTAAAATAAAAATCAAGCTTCGGGAGTTAATTCAAGGAGGCAGTATTGGAAAGGGATGTAAAGGTTTGACAGGTCTCAAGATTTCAGAGTGTCATCACTTAGCAGCAGCAGGTAGTAATCCCATCTCCCATATCGCACCCTAGATCACAAACGCTGAAATGCCATGAAACGCTTTTTATTCACATCGACGTTTTAAGCGCTACTGAATACGAGGCAGGTTTCACTCATCTGTTGGGTAATAGCTGCAGAAGATTGTATGAATGATTTAAGACTCTTTTTAAAGTGACCCGGATTTTAGGCAATTCATGTTGAAATCTCACGAAGGCACACTTCCCACTGTTATATGTACGTTCTGGAGTGGTTGCAACGGCTGGATTTACGTGGCACGTCTGTGAATTTGATATAGTTCTTCTAGTTCTAAATAATAGACAAGTATGCTTCTTATCCAAGGCCCTTATCTGCACCGTAGATATATATTTTTTTCTTTTTACTCCGGAGCAAGAAGGAATAGTAATGCACTCCCGAGTGAACATTAATATTAGCTGATTCATTTACAAAATAAATATCCGTGTTCCATTTCAGAGGACTTAAGGTGCGTAGTTAATAGTGCAATCCATTTTCCCTTGTGCCCCCCCCCCCTTTAAAAGGGTGTATTTAGCGTACGTTGAATATCCTTCGCTCATTGGTCCTAAACAATACTTATATATATATTTAGTTTTAAAAATTGTCTATTTCAGAATCTTTTCATTTAATTTATTTTCTTGTCAGACAACTGGAAATTGTGTTTCGCGTCGACGACATATGTGTGTTTCTGCTCCAAGTCAGCCAAGATCCAGGCTTGCTATAACCCTAAGGAGTTCAAGTACGTTCATGAGCGTCCGCCATTTTTCCGAGGTATTCGTGGAGCAATGATACATTTCGAGCATGCAATGAGTGGCTGCACGTACGTGTTACTGATTCCCATGCAATGTTCATGTAACAGATAACAACAATGGGACAGATGAAGGAGGAATTGGTGTTCAAACTACATGCCGTTATTGAAAATATGTGTATGCTAAAGCGAAAACATGAAGGATGTTCTCCCCGCTCTGTGGTTGTCGGCATCCATCTTTGGTAGGGACGGGGTAACAAATCTGCCAACAAGAAATTCAGAAAGGAAATATGATCTCATTAATAGAAAGATCACAGTGTTTAATTAAATATTAAATCCTTGTTACGCCTACTGATGTTTACTCTACATTAACCACTAGGTTACAATTCACGATTTGCTCAGAAGAGCAAATCGGAAGAGACCGTGATAAAAGCACTTCACTGTTAAAACATTCACCGACAAAAGGGGAGTCATTTGATACCATTTCTCCGTTGACCACGAAGCTAGATCCCCAATAACCTCTTGGAAACTAAGAAAGACGGGAAAACCAGAATAACCAATATGAAGAACCTAATTAAGGGATCTGAGTAATATTAAATCAACAGCGTTGACAATCAATGCATCCAAGCCGCTAGTGTCACAATGTTGGCTGATCGGGGGGGGGGGATTGAACGGGATACCGAATATTGAGTTTGGTAACGTGGTTTGCCAAAGGCGCTGAAAACGTATCTACCCATTATCTGTTGCTGAATCAACATTCGTACAGATGTCAAAACACCTTTTTGAAGAAGGAACTATAAAAATATACATTCAATATACAACAAATACTTATAAAGTTTGTGATACTGAGCACCCTGACCAGAAACTTGGGATATCCAATTGAGAATAAATTATTTTACCTTTAAAGAATCGCGCATGCTCTGGACAGATTAACCCAAGATATTTCTTTAGGACGACGGTACGTACCAGGTACAAGCAAAAAGACAACTAAAATAACCGATAACGTACACCAGGGCATCTTTTGAAATCAAAGGGCGAAAACAAAGCAAAAGAAAGAAAAAGGTCCCCAGTACATATGGGATGGAGGTAGTTTCTACTTCCTCCGGTCAATTAGATTAATGTTGAAAAGTAGCATGTGGTGCAAATGTCAAAGAGGCTGCGCATATGCGAGGCTATCAAACATGAAAAGTAAAATGACTGTTAATTACTATGAATGCAAAATTTCATCTTCCAGAGCGTTCCTCCAGAGAGTGGGTTTTCATTCTTTGTATTGAAAAGTAACTGTATGAATGGCATGTAGTGGCTCAGATGGGTTCTTACGAAATATGTGCATGTCAAATATAAGCAAACGATGATAAACAGCAGTCTTTTGTATTCTAGAAAAAAAGTAGACCCTGTTTTTGTGTAAGGTGCCATTCATATTTTCCCGAGTGATAACAAAACATGTGGACGCTTTCCTTAATCCCAAGCCACTATGTTCCTTTGACCAAGCAGAACAAGAAACACAATGACATGCACAAAAGGCAACACTATCAGATCAGACAATGTACTGAGAGTTTTTGCTTAGACTTGTCTTTATTAACCAGCGCCAATAGGCGAGTTTTAGCTGGCTGTTTTTCTCTTGGCATGAGAATGTTACCTTTAGCAATCTGATATGTTTTCGAGACTGAAGATGCCATTAGGCATTATGATAATATTAAATTTGCTAGAAATCGTTACTTTTGACTCATGCTGTGTGTAATCAAAACTCCCTTGCCAATATGTTTGTAATCAAAATTCCCTTGCCAACAGAGTAGGCCTATAAGTGCCAATATAGATGTCCCACGATAGTCCTTACTGGGAGATAAAACAATTATAGTTTTACAAGCTGTAACACAGGATTTGCATTCATTATGTCATTAGACATTACGCAGATGTAAAAGACTCTGATTTGAATGAAATTCAAGCTGCAGATCAAAATTATCAGAAAGAGACTGCTGTGGGTGAAGACATTCGTGTAGTATTTTTTCAGCGCTGAGGGGATTTCACCTACAAGAATTCTTACGCAAAAACCTGAAGAGAATACTTGGCGGGTACATTAACGTATTGCAGAAGCCCCCAGATTCATCAGCGAGTGATCATCTGGTCTCTGAGGGAAGTCTTAAAGTCACTTTCTCGGCAACATGTACTGCTGGGATTCGTGAAGAGTATCCCCGGAGAGATTGCAAATTGACGCCGCCATTACTTTTGACAACGCGTGCAGCCACCCGTGAAAACTATGCCCGTTCACACAGACGAATATGAGAACCTCTTGAAAAAAAAAGGGGCGACCACGGGCGAGAGAAGGTGCCACACGCAGGCATAATTTTTAGTGGGTGTACCGCAAGGACAAAATGCAGTGGGTTTATTCTAGCACCGAGAGAGGGAATAATTGATCCCAAAATCCCGAGTGGCCTCCACACGGTCACTCAGTGCAAACATGAATGACACATTATACAGTTCCCCGCCCTTATTTGTACCCCGACCGTGGTATTTTTCTGGTTACGCCAGACCAACCCTGTTGACTTTTGACTGTAAAATGAGCTTCCCCTGTCAACCACAGAAAGGTCAAATTTGCCGGCAGGGAAATCCCCAGCGACCAGCTTCTGTTTTTGAACGGCCAATTAAAGAAGGAAAAGGCAAATTCATTAAAGTGTAATCAGTCAGAATCTCGAAAGAAATTCAATATTTTCTGAATCCTCTGTTGTACAAATCAGTTTTAAAAAATCAGTTTAATGATGGATTCCATAATATTAAGCGGCCAAATAACGCACGCATGCAGGGTCTTGAGAGAAAATTTTTTGGGAGGAGTTTGCAGCGATTAGGTTTTGACCCAGTTGTTTTTCTTTTAACTTTAGATTTGAACATATTGGAAGTCACAAGAATAGGTTTCAGCTTTGCTGACACTAAATTAAAATGTTTATAAAAAGTACTCATTGATTAATATCAGTCTTTACGGTTTTCATTCCGCAACTGTGTTACAGGTTTGCAAAGCACCGGAGAGTGTGAATACAGAGAGCTTAAAATGTCTCTTTAGTCCATACAAAAATGGGAAAGGGCTTATTTCAATTTAAATGAAAAAATAAATATTTGTGACGAGAAGAACATTATTGGCAAAACATGTCGCTATGATCTTCCACAAAACAGCTTTTTTCAAAGCATTGCCACTGTCCTAAAAATTTCTAGCCGACTCCTGTCCATTCTTTTCACAAAATGAATCAGCTAAAAATAATTTTCAGACCATTAGCACTTACCAGAGAAGACCTATATTAGGCTACTAAAGTGGCTGTTTAGTAGCCTCTAATGTCCAATTAATGTTTGTATTCACAACAAATAGTATTGTAGAGCTTTCCAATGTCAATTTACCCCACTGAGGCAGTCTAAGCCCTTTGAATTGCGTGGTTCCGTACGTTGATCTCAAAGTTTGGCTGCCTTTTTGAAAAATGGCTGCCACAGTCGTGAAGAGCAAAATCAGCGATGCCCCAATATCCAGATCTAGTCTATCTCCATGCCAGATTTGGTGCTTTTATCACAAAATGCACAATAGGTTCACTATGCTGCCCCACTACTATGGCCGTAATACGACTGTTTCAAATTGAAAACCAATTAAAACAAAACTTAACCCATCTAACAAGGACGATCGCGAATAACAGGTTATCAACTGCTCAACTGTGGAATTTAAGTTTAGGAACTAAAATGTCTTTAAGAAATGCCATGGAATAAAGGAAGTCAGAATTCTCACAGCACATATCGCGCACCACGTAGAGAGCACTGATTTGTTTTAAACTATTGACACTGCTACGTCTTAATAAAGCGATTAACTAAAAACATCACTACTGATCTAGTATATTCTGCCAACGAACGGAAGAAAAGTATAACGACGAATTTAAGTTGAAGTAATGAGGATTTACATTTCTTCAAAACATAAGGACAAGCGAATACCTCCATAAATACCTCAATCAGTGTGCTAGAGGAGGCGAAACCTTCCCACGTGTTTACTTTAGAATTGTGTTCACCAATTAAGTGTGTAGTATTACTAAAAAGGTTTCACTTCCCTTTAAGTGCTTGGTTTCAGTTGAACTTTCAAAGTGGTACATTATAATTTTTGATTCCAAAGAAAATTTAAAATGTTTATAACGTCATGAAAATTTAATTGCATCATATCTTATAAAACTCAAAACTGTTGACTTATTAAGATATACATGAAAAAACAAAACATGTAAAACAAATGAAACAGACAAGTGATCAGCTAATTAATTTAAGTTCTTGTCGCTCTCTGCTCGCTATATTCAATTTAAAAAGAGAAAATACGCTTAAGAAAAGCAAGGCAAGAGCCCAAGATTGTGCAAGTCCGCACTTCATTTAAGAATGCGCTTGTTAATAGTTTGTTAATCAGCAATTAAATTACTAAATTAATTCTACAATCGATCCCCATGTATCGCTGTATCTTGTTGAAACTGTAAAGACCTTAACTTTCAAAAACAAAACCATATCACCCCTCTTTATGCTTGCCTGGTTTCCTTTTGACCCGTACAGGTTAAACACTGCAACAACGGATCACCTGCTAGCTCATATGTCACACCGAAGAAGGAAAATGGAGCATCAGCGGAGGGAACCAACCAAACTTGAGCAGGGAATGCGACACTCTGTCAAAACAATCCACCAGGACTACAATTATTGCGAGGCTGTTAAAAATTCCAAGGGACTACTCTGGGCTCTCTATGGCCCCTCCTTAAAACACTTATTTGAATACCCCCGCTGGAACAAAAAGAGACAAAACTCAAGCTTTGCCCGTGTGTTGACAACATTTTGATTAAATTTGTCATCGAAGATCTAGGGTTTGTGTTGAGTTTCTGTTTATATTCCACTGAGGACAATAAATCCAGTCAATGAACCCACAGCTACCCCCAGAATAAAGAACAAAAATCATGCATCGGCCTTCTATTGGTGAAATATTAAATCTTTAGTTTTTCCTTTCTTTTTTGCACCATTAATTTAGCAAGTGCATTCATTATTGCCTTGGCGGAGTTGTGACCGTCTTGATGCTATCTTGACAGGTCAGTAATTAATCTTAAGACTGTTTGCAAATGACCTTCAACGTAAATTGATTTTGACGTTGTATTTGCAGGGGAAAATTAAATTCAAAGCATAGTTTTCAATTTACAAGTGACATCTTGGCTTTGATCAAAATGAACAAAGTCCTTAAATTCTTTTCATGACATATATGAATAACAAGCTTGCATCCCGATGGAAAAAAATGTATCACAGGCACTTAAAACAGATGAAGTAAACTGTACTTATGTTGCCACCAGAAATCATGGATTCCAATGTTGTTGTTGCCAATTTCTTTTCATTTTTCTTTCTTTCCCCATATTCCTCAACGTACCTGCATAGGCCCAATCGTCAAATACACAATCAGTCACCAGAACTATTGGCAATATTCTTGATTTCCTCGGAACTTTACCTGACTTGCCATTTTAACGCTTTTCTGTTGATTGATTATCCAATATCCCAAAACCTTACCATTTGTATTCATTTTTTAATTTGGATTTGTGTGGTACACTTTTTTTTGGGGTGGTAATTTCACAAGATCGGCTGATTCTGATGTGAAATATTCACTTCAACTTAGACTCCAATCACTTCTTTTATGATGGTGTCAATTGCTTTATGAAAAGAGCGAGAAAAACAGCGGAGCGTTTTCAACGCTTAAAATGAAGGTCTTGTAGTTTATCTTACGTAAAGTCTATGGATTATAGGGCGTTCGTAGTACAAGCGAACATCGTCCGCGGGGTAAAGGTGGGAAACAAGCATGACAGGTTCTTTTTCAAGAGAGCAGTTTGTTTTCAACGGCTAGGAGTAATTAGTGAATTTAGCTTTGAGTAATGCGCCTCCTATCCAATATACCATTGCGGATTCGTGGAAAAACTTTATCAAGGAACACAGCAGTCGACTGGTGCATGTAACATAGGCCTATATGATTATGCACGTGCGCGCACGATCGTGTTTACAACGGCACTTTCATGTCAGTTCACACGTCAATGAAAGTCTAAAACACCATTCATAGTTGAGTCATTCATAATAACAAGTAAAAAGAATTACATCTTAAAGCAAGGGAGGATTAATTTCGCAAAGTTTTCCGTTATAAAACCTTTCCTTAAATAAAATACAACTTCACACGGATGTAATTTATTTTCTACTCTACGCCTAACATGCAAGTTTCTATCATTTCAGTTAACGGTATTTTTGGCGAAAGAATGTCAGTATATGTAGAGCTGCTTTTAAGTTTATCTGGTCATTAATTGAGACTCCCACAACATCTGCAAACACTACATGTATGCAATTTGGCGCCTGTTCAAGGTTCAAACATACCTGCTTTTTGGCAGCGCGTATTTTCCCAGACGGGCCAGTCAAAAGCATCTGTCTTTGCACTGCGATGCTAATTGCACGCCAGGCAGCTGGCACACATGTAGCCTTGGAAATGCAAATGACCATAAACAAGGGGGGGGGAATGAAAGTCTGAATGAGTTCAAGCTTCAGGAGCGTCTTTAGATGTATGCTTTAAAAAAGTAAATAAATAAATAAACAAATAAAATAAGGTGAAGCACAACCGAGTTCGTGGGAGCGGATTCCGCCGGCTCCTTCAGGGTTAAATGTCATGCCTGGACCTCTGATATTTTTAGGTTACTCGTCCCACTTTACAAACCTCCAAAACATTACTCTATGAAATGTCTCAATTTTGAAACTGACGTCTTATCTCGTCTTAAACAATGTTTTTCAGGAGGTTGATTTATATTAACAAACGTAAAGGTCACAGAATGGTTTGAAGACTGATTTTTTTCAGCCAGAACCCATCTTGCCCTAGAGAACTAAGTCTTTTAACATCTGAACGATAATGATATCCCTGTTGATTTTCTTCAATATTATGCCTCGTGGTTAATTAGTGGTTCCCGAATACGGCTGTTTCAGTTTGAAAAAAAAGTACTTCATCTAGGTTCAGTGTGATTATTCGTAGCTGTTGCAAGCCCCAATCCTCTAGAGTCGCTCATAGCACTGTAGCTCACAAGCCTGGAGATATACATTTGATAGGTCAAGGTTGAATCCGTGTTTTGGCTCAACAGGGAACAAACATGATTTATGAGGTGACAGCTTTTTCTGAGTTGGAGGTCAAACGCGCTATTACCATCCTGCACAGTGTGTATGGATACACTACTTTGGAGGGGAAATCGTTGCATGGATAGTTTGGGACATCCTAAAACAAGAACATAACTGGGAGACCAATCTACGGCAGTGCTGTGTCCAGCTGGGGGGGGGGGTTGACAAGTTGGCCCCTTGAGGTCCTGATTACCAGGCGGATATATTAGTTTTGTTTTTCTTATTGGGATTAGGCAAGCATTAATAGAAACAGTGTTACATTGTCGGGGTATTCTACAGATAACAATGTAATTTGGATAGGCCCCTAGCCGTTAAAATAAATTTTAAAAATCTATCCCCTACGAATCCCCCTTCCTATGTTTTGGCTCAAAAATAGAGAGATTGTGACCTATTAAGTTAATAAAGTCAATAGATGAGCATTGAAAGCCTGTCATGTCATGGACAGGTACATGTTTATCTGATAGTGCCACCAGGCGATAAACAGAGCTGCTCTAAATGTAATTGTCTATTCCAGAAATGTCAACTGTTCATATCCCCAAATAAAGGCCCGTATGTCAGCCGTTCTTTCCTGATTTGCAAAAGTCAATCCGAAGTCTACATAAATCTGACTTGACGAAGACAGGCAATACCTTAAGCTTACTACTAATGCCAGGGTCTCTGGATGTGACATTGGGAGAGTTGAGCATAAAATCGGGAAGGAAAGCTCAGCAGGAAAATACGGGACGAGTTAAAAATGTCGCTTGGATTATTAACATTGCAAAAGAGTGAGTTATCATCAAATCTGGTAGCTGACTGTAGCTCCCAGACTCAATCATTTTGGTCCTAATCAACCTCAAGCTGGAACAAGAGAGGGCGCAGTTTCATTAGCACGGAGGCTCCTTTTTGTCTGAACTTCGCCGGTTCACGAACTATGAAATGCACGCGTTACAGTCACACCGCCACCAACAAAAATGAAATACCTCAACCAATGTGGCTCTTTTCAGTCCTTGAGGGGGTACTTCTGCTTGAGGTGGATAGGCTTGGTAGGCTCTAATTAATTCCCAGACTCTCGTTTCCGATCGATTCTTATTCTGGGCTCCGGTAGGAGAAAAAAAAAGAAAGAAAGTTTTTCATGTTACCAACCGTCTAGAATTTCCTATCAAGAAGATATAGATTATGATCTTAAAAACCTTTTGAGAAAGAGCAAGAATTTTCATGACAGCTGTTCCCCTGATTGACCAATCCTCCCTCGCGGTAAAACTATAAGAATGACAGAATTAACCTCGAACACTGTAAAATACTGATTCGTAATTTTGTGTCAAGGAATTGCCAATAGCGCCCTCTTTGGGTTTGCACAAATACGCGATGGACTCTAAAGCTATCGTTTTCAGAGTAGGAAGATATCTGGCATCTGGTCCAGATATTCCATCCCAAGGGGAAAGCGGGATTGACGATAGGCCTGTGTTGAAATATGTTCATGGATAAAACCATTGTTTTTGTGTGCGAGTAATATGATTTCTTATATTTGCGCGTAACAAAGTCTACTTTTTAACTAGACACTTGTTCTGGGAAGCATGTTCAAGAGTGTAGTCCGGATATTATTTGCCCCTTGCGAAATAAACTTTTTGCTGCTTTATAAACTGCTAAAATGACAGTTATTAGTGTCAATTCTGTCATTTTTTGCAGTCTTCTTTCAGCGGTAGTGATACTCACTTTAGGGTAAGTATTGCCAATCGAATGTGTCCCACAGCTATTTATTATACCAAATGAAATGGTCAACATTTGATACATTTTTAAATGGCTGCGTTTCGTGGGTAAAAATCGAGGTTTGGTGGTGTCAGGAAATTCAATATGGAATGGAGAGGCTCAGGGCTTTTTTAAAGATAGAGTTATGGAATTGAAGGAGAAACAATATACACATTTTATATTGATTAGTAAGAGGGGAATAGGGAGAAATATATATGTGGCACGTTCTTGGTATTATTTCGTTTGATCGTTATGATTACACAGCGTGACTGACATCAAATCATCGCCGAGTAATGGGAGTACATTGCCTCCATTCAAGGTGTAAACATTAAGGACTTTGACCTTGCGCGGCGGTTACTTGACCGGACTCTCGTGAACCAAACGCAAATGTCCTCAGCAACTTGCCAATCCTCTGTTGAGCCTTCTCGTTTTGGAGAGTTCGCTTGCACAAAGTTAACAAACGAACACATTGAAACTTTTTGTATGTGCTCTAAAAGGCTTAAACCGAATAAAACACGGTAGAATCATGAAAAGAAATGCTACATAAATATGAAATTTAGCCTCAAAGTGGTTGTTATGATGATAAATTATTTCCATTTTCAATTGATCACTTGGTCTTTTTCCACTAAATATCTCAATTTTGGAAGTTTTCCAAAAACAGTGAGACGCCATACGACAGGCCAGAATCTCAACTACACAATACAATCAGTTCTATGTACCTAAATTTCTTTTTGTTCGTTTTTCATGAGTTATATTTGATACCTTTGCTCAGCGCGATTTATACGTGTTACATGCACAAAAACGTTCTAGCCACATACCGTGCAGTACACCGGTCCTTAACGCGCGTACCGCGGCGTAGCCTACATTTACTAACACAGGCACATGCAAAGATTCGACGGAGCCGATTTACATGTTCATGAGGTTTATGCGTGTAGGGTACATGTAACACTGGGGCTGTATACCGTGAAATGTCAACATTTTCCTGGCAATGTTATAATTACAGGTATACCTCGGTTTCAATAATAAACTTCATGTACTTTTGTGTTCGTCTGTCGTTTCCGAGTCATTGAATTCTTACGCTCGCAAGGCCGTCAGATTATGCAGGGTGAACGGAATCGGTGCTGAATTAGGTCAATATTTTCCAACGCGTCTGGTCGGGAAGGGAAAAACGTCTGGCGCAAAACCGTCAGCAAATCTAAAACCTTCACACCTTTCTCCACCACAGCCCACTTGTCAAAACTTCAGGAAAA